TTCTCTTCTCTTCTCTTCTCTTCTCTTCTCTTCTCTTCTGTTTTCCTCTCTTGTGTCTGCAATTGGGAGTTTATTTTCTTCTTTTCTGTCTCGTATTGTGGAGTTATTTTTAAATACTTAAAGCAGCAATTTATCAAATATCTTGTTTTAGAAACTAGACCAACATCCAGGCAATCAACCAGGCAATCAACCAGGCAATCAACCAAGCAATCAACCAATCAACCAACCACAAACCCATCCCACGAGTCTAAGGTACGTAAACCACCCTAATCATCACTACTCGCACTCGTCAAGATGAATTGGCATCGGGGACAACTAGCACAGCTTTCTCCAGATTAATGGGGAACTTCATGGATTTAAAATAGCGGGACACCTTCGACAATTGATACTTCCTACTCCTCTTATATTAGTTACCCTCGCTGTATGTCGGTTCCACAAGCTTAAAAAATAAGCTAGAATATTTCAGAATTTAAAACTCCGATCTCGGAAATTTTATTATTAATTGCTTCGATTGTTTACTGTACTGTGGAAATAAGTTAAGAGTGCTTGGCAACCCTTGTAGTACTCTTACTGCTGCATACAATGTTTGTGGGACACAATTTGACTATTTTCTGAATCGGAGCACCATGGATTTCCTGCGGTCACCCATGTTATGCATATGGTTGATAGACATGGCAGTGAGAACACACTGTTAATTGCAGGATCAAATCATTAATTCGACTATGCTGATGGTATTTTCTTTTTGTGATAATTCAAATCTTCAAGAACTTTCCCAAAAACACCGACGTCTCGATGTTCATCAAGCTGTTCAACCAAGAAATCTTCTACACTAAAATTACTCCCCAAATCATTGATGAACTTGTTAGTCAGATCAAGAGCCTCTTGTTGGGCGAGAAAGACGAGATTCGAACTGCCCTTGGAGGTAAGTTTGCATGATTGGTGCATCGTAAGGGAAAAACAATTGATTTAGTACCTTATATCATTCCGATCATTCCAGCAATGAAGATCACCAAAGACAGCATTCAAATCCAACAAAGTGTCACCAAGGCTTTCCTGTTTGCACATGCTCAACAGATGGTACCTACGCTGGCTGGCTTGCCTATTCACCTTCATCTTGTCTCTAGCTTAGTCACCGGTGTGAATAACAACATCAACATCAAATGTGAACCTTCTTTGTTCAAACTCCTCTCAGCATCAAGTCTGTCAACCTCGATGAACGTCAATGCTAAGTAAGTAAAATCTAATAGCATGTTCTACAACTACCAGAATCCCTCATAGTATTACAATCCATCACATAAACTGCGGCGCGTCACGGTAAATAGACCTCTTTACCTTAGTATGGGAGTAATGTTTTCCCATTTCAGACCACGTGTCATTCTCAAGAGCATCACTCTTCGTTTAACGCCGAGTCGTACACGAGTAGACACATGAACATGGATACCACTCAAACTAAGAATATTATTTTCAAAGCAATGACACGTAATCTGAAATGGGAAAACATTATGCCCATGGTAAAGAGGTTTATAGAGTAATAGTTGACAACATACATTTATCTTACGGTTTTACTGTAGGCTCCTTGTAATTTAATCTTATTTGATGTTATTGTTATTTTTTTGAAAGGATCTCTGTCTTCACCAAGGCTCACATCAAGGTCCATACCCCATTCGTACGAGTTGGACTCAAGTTGCAGAACACCATTCAATTGAGGCCACAACTAGGATTTGAGATGAAGGCTCGTTATGGTCACTCTTACACGTTTGTCATCCAAAACCCAACACAGGTTAATGACGTCTTGATGATCAGGTAGGTAACCTTGACTACCTAGCGTGAAAAAAGTTAGCCGTTTTTCGACATTGCAATGTTGCGTAACATGATGTTACATTCTTGGGGTGCATCTGACGTCATAACCGCCATGTTGGCTGACTATACAAAAAATATCCCATCAAGCTTCTTTTGTTAGATCAACCAAGATGGCGGCTGTTTAATTGATATTTATATCTCAAGGGATTTTGAGTCACGTGGTTGCATTCCAAAAGTAACTGTGAAACGTCACGCCGTAGGGTTCTATCACAGCAAGGAATATTGACTCATACAATGAAAAAGCGCGCACGGCACTGTCACTGTCACGCAGTGTTCTGTCACAACAAGAAATTGGCCCGTACAATTAAAATACGAGCCACTGTCACGCAACGCCAATAAAGATTTTCAGAAAAAAATTTGCTCTACGCTAATTTCATTACTTATATATGACAGTCCCGATCCAACCAATCAACAAGCAGTTGGTATGTGTGGTGTTGTCGAGATCCAACAAGTACAACAATTCAAGGTCACCGAACATGAAGTTCCCTTAAACGTCAACAAACAGCATATTGTTCAGGTTGGTTTCTGTGCTTCTTGCAGGGCTTTTTTCATTAGACTTTTCGTATTGCAGAAAGAAAATATGCTTGATTTTGCCATACCTCATTTCCGGTTTCGCGAGAAATTTTTGCCTGCTGAATCGCATGTTTTCAATTCAGTAAAACTAACACAAGGATGATTGAGAATCGAAAACAGTGTTTTTGCTTCGCAGTAGACTCAGTAATAAGATTCATCAGTTTTTAAGGGTTATGCGTCTACCAATAATCCGTTACGCATCACATATTTTGCTCTTTTTTTGACCATTTTTTCATTTCATATAGTTGTAAAAAGATAATTCTATACTACCAAGTATATTAACAAAGGACAAAGGACCCAGCGTCTGATATGGGAATATATTTTACAAAATGACTCAGGTAGTTTGTGTTTTCTTTTATCCACAGCTTGAAAGGATGTGCTATGGCGAAGATACCACTGGCGTAGCGACCTGCATTTCTGGACGTGTCCCTGACCTTTCTTCCCTGAGATTCAAGGACATCCCTTTCCTAACTACCCTTGCACAAACTAACATTCTTGTCCAGTCAACGCCAAAAGATCAAGTCAAGCAGATTGAAATTCAAGCAGATGTGAAGCAGAATACCAAAGAAAGTAAGTTTTCTTGTCTTAGTAAATTTGTTTCCCGTTAATCAATAGATGTGTTAAAAACTTAATAGAGGCTTTGCAACATCACCTGATGGCAGCCAAGACAGGATCCAGCAACAACTGAATCTGGTCTAATACGATTTACATGAGAAAGGATTCAGTTTCCCAGGGGAAAAGACTATTGTTGTGCCTCTTGTCATGACTGCCATCGCGTGATGGTGCAAAGCCTCTATATCTTGAAGCGCAATCAAAATAAATTGTATGAGACTACACAGGTTTAGGCAGCAAGAGCCGACTGGCCTTTGCAATTGCAAGGCCGTATGCTTCTCATGATCGATCGCTTGACTGCTTGCATTACAAACACACTTTTCTTAGGATACCATCACTTGCATTGTAGGCTATCATTGCCTAGTTGCAATGAAGCGACCGCATGATCTTGTTAATGTCTCTAGTAAGAAACTTCAACAACCTACTATAAGGCATCATCTTTCAATGGCTAGCAATGTCAGTGATCACCTCTCTTAATGCCACCTTCACTAATCCACCACCACTTTGTTACGGCCATCACGTTATAGGTCTTTCACTTACAATATAATCTAATTAATCTGGTTATATCATTGAATCAACAGACATGATTGGACAAATCATGTACAAAGCAAACGGCAAAAGCACTAGACGTGAGGTCCCCATCGCCTTCAAATACGACTACAGCAAGAACCAACTTGTCATCTCTGTAACCAAAAAGTCCCCATTGACGTGGGGAATGAACCTACGTGTTGACTTCAAACGACTGACAAAAGTCGAAGCTCTGCTGAAGTTCAATGGACAGCAAAAGTACGAGATGAATTTGGAAAGCATTATTGAACAGCAGACTGGAAAACAAATGAAAGTCAAGCTGGGATGGAACAAGGCAAGTTTCTTCATTGATATCTATTTTCCACTTTTTCCAGCAAGCATTTGGTCATAAGGATGTCTAAAAGTTAGGTCGTTTTTTACAGCTATTTTAAGTCAATTTTTTCCCCCAATACCTGACTATAATACCTACGTTTTCTTCGATTTAGCTGCCAGCGTATTTGAAAGAAGTCCTCAAGAAATACGAACCCCAGATTCTGTACTTCTTGCAAATGTTTGGCTCAGTCTCCACGCAACAGAGAAGCAAGAGCAGGATCCAAATAATCATTCAGATAACATCCCCACTGACCGCTCAGATTCGTGCTTCGAGCCCACTGGGTCAAATCCAGACAAAACAGCTGTCTCTCCCAATGAAAGTATCACGCCTCCCTCTGTCTCTCCAGGAAATACTTCGATGGCCTTTCGGTAAGTGTTCCTTAATCTGGTGGATTCAATTTGAATTCTTTCGAAGGGGGACCTAGATGCTAGATTTTTCTTTGTATTATTATTTTTTCTTTCATTTTTTCAGGTCAGTGCAGGCTTCAGTCATCTAGCGCACACCAACACAGAATTTCAATCTTCGACCAGAAATCTTACTCCCTCTCCACCCGAAAAGAGAGCACTTGTCAACACATTTTGGCCCAAGATAAGGAAGGAAAACTCGTTAAAGTCGCTGTTCAAGCAGAGAAACAAGGACAACTGCGTCTGATCATTCTAGTTCTGCAACCAAGAAAGGCAAAACAATACTACGTTTTAATATAAAAATACTTGTCTTGTATTTAGTTAATGCATTGAGACTAGTCGGCCTCTTGGAATCCAAAGTACATTCAACCAAAAAGTGAATCTAGGGCTTTAACTTTAAGTTTTTTAAAAATAAATGTTGGATGTATCTGAGGCGCAGGGTCCTATGGAACCTGTGGATGCTACTGTCCCAGAAATCGTAAACTGATTTTTCTGTTTTGAAGACGTTATTTCCTGCGTATTTGGGACATTCTTAGGCGGGAATAAACACACGGGCATCTAGTTAATTCCTCTAAAAGAACTGTCACTGTAATTGAAATTTCGCTAGGTAGGAGAGAGCGCGAAGCTGAATAATGAAACAAGGCCGATGATATTTTAGGTAATGAAAATCGTGTTCTTTTCTTCAGACCACGATTGTAGTGAATCCCAACCTCTCAGTTCTGATCAACAATAAGCCATGCACAGAAAAGGTCTGCAAGGAGCAAGGCATTGGTCGAGTGGTCAGGAGAGAACAACGAGTTAAAATCAACCTGAATGTCAAGGTAATTATTAATAGAGCTACATGATAATAGTAAGACATTGTTTCTCGACGTTCCTATCGCTCGATCGCGAATCCAAGATGGCGTCTGTTGGGTACGAAATCCAAGATGGCGTCCGTAATTCAAGATGGTGTCCGGAACCCAAAATAATGGCCTCATTGTATGATATTGATGGTCAAATGATAAAATTAGAAATATATAGCAATTTTTAGTGCGTCGTATAAAAAAAACAACGTCGGTTTAGTTAACTAAGTAAATTTGTAAGTGAAATAATTAAGCAAGATGAGCGTCGTAAATCGAACAAAGTCGAAGTGCTGAAGGTACGTCTTTCTTCTCGTTATAGCACTTTATTGAAGTCAATTACAAACGCGACGACATCAGCATTCTGGCTAGTCCCACTCTCCGAGACAGGGTGCGAGGTCTTTGTGGTGACTATAACGGCGAGGACTACAAAGAGCTGAGGAACCCACAGGGAAAAGTTCTATCGAGCATCGAAGACTTTGCCCGCTCCTGGAGGATTGAGTGCTAAGGTTAGTTAAGATTGCCGGCTTATCGTACTCAGATTCCACACGGTCTTTAACCACAGGGTGGGATCTGGATATGAGGTTTAGCTGTTGCACGATGAAGCTGAATTCGGTTTATCATATTTTCTTTCCTTTTTCTTTCCAGAAATGGAGCATCAGATCACAGATAACCGGACCAGAACAAGCTAAATAGATGAATTCTTTAGTTTTCTTGAGGGAATTTCGTTTCTAAATGGTGTAGGGATAATGTAGTCTCAGACTTTATTTTATTATTATTCTATTATAATTTTCATAAGGTTTGTAGTTTTTGTTTTCACAAAATGAGAAAAATCACAACTGAAGGACTAATGGTATTGTCAATAACTTTTGGAATCTGTTAAAAATAATCCCTATTTGTAGGTCTTTTAAAACAATTCCTTTTGTATATCATCGTTTCCTAGATTTTGCATGTCTATTTGACCATAAAATTTAACCATACATTGTGTTTTAAGTACCAAAGTCATTTCATTTCTGTTTAGTGAGAGCACGACTGCAACCTTTAGGTCTTTTATTTTGTCATTTCTTTTACATTTTTTTAATTTTTCAATAAAGGTATTTTGCATTGAATTTGAAGTCTCCTTGTCATTTACTCACTTGATCAGTTTGTTAACCTTGTTTGTACTACAACTCATTTATCGATAGCCTTATCAGGTGTCGTCCACCCTGGAGGGGTAATGTCAACCCTCCGTAATGCGATCACTCATCAAAAGCCTGAATGATAATATATATAGAGAGAGGATATCAGGCCATTTTACAGTCGAAGTGCCCGTAATATAGAGGTGGTCGTATTATAAAAGGTTACTTTGGAAAAATGAGCAAAATTTCCCGGAACTTTAAATCAAAGACCGTGTATTCGTGCCTTCGGCATTACAACTATAAAGATAATAAACTAGCAATATGGAAATCTTGGGGGAAAATAAAATAGAATAGACTTTGCTCGACACACAGCGAGTGGTCGTTTGATGACAACTTGAATGATGAATAGTCGTAGTGCAAATCCCTTTCTTTACTTTGGTAACCATAGTAATCAAAAATCTTTTGAAAAAACACACAGAAATTATGAACATTAGCTTGTGCAAAAAGAGAAAAGGCTTCTAGTTCCATGCATTCTACATGCAAAGAAGACTCATGATGAAAAAACAAAAACAAAAACAAACAAAAAACAAACAAACAAAAAAACAAAAAACAAAAACAACAAACAACAACAATGTACACTAAAAAAAACAGCCATAAATCACAGCCGGTTGTTCCTCGATATTAAACTTCATGTCATCAAACAGCAAAGAAGAATATAAAAGAAAAGGATTCTCTTGTTTAATCCTTTCAAATCACGTCACATTAATGATTAATTTTACTTTAGAGTCCAAAAAAACCTGCCTAAATGGATGACTTTTTGATGTAAGCGAATTCTTTAGAACATTCATCCGTTTCCTCGAGATTAGTCTTGTCCTAAAATGCTATTCTTAAAATCCCCTGTCCCTTGGCAACACAAACTATTTTCGTAGCATAAACAGATTTAAAAGCAATTTGGCCGACATTGGTCAATAATACCGATTTGTAGAACATGTTTACTTACATATAATTATCTTTTACAAATGGATGGGTTGACACTTAAGTCATAATAACTCTTAATACAACCTAGTTCATTTGAGTAGGCACTTTTGTTGGTTTGTGTTAGTGTTCCAAGGTACATATAATTATGGAGCAAGCGTTGCCGACTGCCAAATATTTATTAATGAAATCATTTACTCACGGTACCGAAGGCCAGCTTCCACTCATTAAGACCGTATTGCCATAGCTTGCCATCTCACGATTTATCAAAATATTTTTACAACATTTTAGTCTTGTCGGTAGGTAGTCTGAGTTTCCTCAAAACAATCGGAGTAAATTTTGATTTTTGATTTTATTACTTTAATTTATAACTTTTTATTTATAGCAGTCGCTATGCCAGCGTTGAACGATGCCATATCACAAAGACGTTTCAAGCAAGTTTATTTCCTCATGAACTACGGCGTAGACTTAAACACGAGAAATGTTGCTGGAAAGACAGCATTAATGCAGCTTTGTGAACTAAGACCAGAAGAAACAGCAATAGTTTTATCAAAAGCACTTGTGAAAAGAGGCGCACGAATCGAGCTATGCGATAGAAATGGGAAAAACTCACTTGTTTATGCCATATTGCACCAAAGAGAAAAACTTAGTCGTTACTTTCTTGAAGAAGCTATTCATTATGACCTGAACGCCAAAGACATGGATGGAAATACGGCTCTTTCTCACGCTGCTGCAATAGGGAGCATGGAAATAATTCGTCTGATTGTTCGACTTTTGAAAAAATTTCGACTCAGTGTTGACGTTCCTAATAACAAGGGAGAAACTCCTTTGATGCGAGCTGCGAAACAAGGGCATATTTCCTGTGCCAAGTTTATTTTATCCGAAGGTAAGGCTTCAAAATATATGCGAGATAATAACTGCTGGAAAACGGCTTTGGAATGGGAAGAAAGTTTACGTTCAGAAAACCAGCCGAAACTGGAGTGTTGTACTGGGCCCTTGCTTACTAAGTGTACTACGGAAGAAGAGACACATGACCCTAGAAGGAGCAAGTCTGCTACCAATGAATGCAAAGAAAGTGTGATTGGAATAAGACCAGATAGTTCTCCCTCATTGTTCAAGCCAAAAACTTCACAAAGACAGGAGATTGAACGTTTATTTGATGTTTACAAAGATCAGTTATCAAGTACTTATAGAAAAGGATACGTGAATAGCAAAATCAGTGAAACACTAGAAACAGAGACTGAAGGATTCGATTGTGTACCGACTAAAAAATTTGAAGATGAATTTGAGGACGACATTTTAGAGAAATCCACCTCATCTGGGAATTCCACCCGAAGACTGTTTGCTAAAGGTGCTGCAGTAGTTAAGTTTAGAAAAGGAACTGCTTCTAGAGGTCAGCTTACCAGAACAAACACTTTGTCGGTGTCATTCCCGCCTGGACAGGCTTCAAAAATCGAAAACGCTTCTTTGGTAGAAAAGTCAAATTCAGCAAAAGTCGCCGAGTCTCCCAGGACCGCACTTAACCGACCAAGGCGTCCTGCACGAAGTAAATCAGAGATTCCTTACGACTCAATTAGTCGATTAACGAAAGGAATCGAAAACAAATCGTATAGCCCAATACAGAATAATAAACTGCCAAGGATTCAGTCACTTAAGAAGAGGAGAACAGATTTGAGTATGTCGACTGTTATGGAGGATGAAGAGAATGACGATTAGTAAGCATTTCAAAAATTATTTGGAAGTAGGGTTGAATAGAAACTGGAATTTGTTTACTTTAATCTGGAAAAAATGGGATTAGTAGCACTGGGAAAAATTGCCAATCGGGGAATACGATATAAACTTTGAAAAATTTTTCTGACTAATTTTCAGTTCATTATTCGGCATTTTTTTAGCTAATACGTTTGCATAAAGATGTAAAGATGGAATATCTTTTACCTAGCTACCGTATAGCCAGTCTGAAATACGATTATTAATTGTATTACCCATTTTTGACCCTAAAACACTCAATCCATAGTTTATGAGAAGTTTGGTTCGTAGCTCACTAACGGATGAATAAACCCCAAAAAGCGGAAAGATGGCGAAAAAACCCCGACAAATTCGAAATTAAAACGACTTAGAAAAGGATTCATAAAGCTAAGCCCTTGGTTTTTGTCTAAATCATTGTAATTAAATATAAAGGATTACTAATACAATTAACCTTTAAAAGCTTTGACGCGAAATTCTCTAATATATGAAAAATCGACTTACAAGTGCAAATCATTGAAAATTGGACTTACTGAGCTAAGATATAATCTAAATGGATCAAAAATGAGCCCGACTGTCTGACACCAGACATATGCTCGTTAATGAGAGTTAATGAGATTATCTGTGCACCACTGTCTATTCATAAACTATAAATTGTTTTTCTATTTCATTTATTGCTATATTTAGTTTGATCTGTGATAAGATTTGATGGATAAACCCCCCAAAAAAGAAAAAATATGGCGAAAAAAAGACAAATTCGAAATAAAAACGACTTTGGAAAGGATTCATAACGCTAAGCTCTTGGTTTTTGTCTATATCATTGAAAGAAAATATAAAGGATTTCTATACAATTAACCTTCAAAAGCCTTGCCGTCGTTTGCATTACTACGCGGCCACCCCAGACACAAATCGCGTCGTATAGTTTGCAATAGACTGCCGTCAATCAAACACCTCATTCTACTTGGATGTACTCGAACTCTTTGCAATCGCTTTCGGAACTTTCCTTCGTGATATCTTACTGACTAAATTTGATAGAAAAGCCAACTCACTGATCCAAACGTGTGTAAATGGCGTCAACATGAATGATTGACGGCAGTCTATTGCAAACTACACGACTCGATTTGTGTCTGGGGTGGCCTCGTAGTAATGAAAACGACGGTCACGCGAAATTCTCTAATACATGAAAAGTCGACTTATACAAGTGCAAATCATTGACAATTGGACTTAGTGAGCTAAGGAAGATATAATCTAAATGGATCAAAGATGAGCCCGGCTGTCTGATTCCAATTGTTTACCAGACATATGCTCGTTAATGAGAGTTAATAAGATTATCAGTTTGGTCACCACTGTCTATTTATAAACTTTAAATTGTTTTTCAATTTCATTTATTGTTTAGTTTCATCTTTGATAAGATCTGATAAGAATACATTAAAGTAAAATACAAATAACAAGGTTTAAATGGACTTATATTGGAGTGCAAGCAGGTGATGTAACGGTTTTTCTGATGCAAATACTATAATCGACCTTTTTAGATGTGGTTAAATGTAATTTAGGCTAAGTTAGACTCGAGGTCAATGACATCTCGCAGTAGCGTTGTCCGGACGCATACCGCTATCTCCGCTGTCAACGCATTTATTACCTCACGCGATCGTTGATCGACTCAGCTAGCAAGTTGTTTATAGCATGTCGCAATCTATTCTAGTCGATCT